AGGCCTTCCAATGGGAAGCAAGAGCATGAAGCAGTATTGAGGTTTAATGTGACTTACATTTAACAGGGCTTCCTGCTGCAGTGGTGTGGAGTACATAGATGATTGTGTACTTCCCATTGCATGGTGTCAAGAAGTGTGTAGCATCAGTTTGTCTCGTTATTGGTGACTCTAAGTGTAGAAACTTGGTTAAGTGGGTATCTGCCAGATTTCTCCACTGTTGAGGTACACTTTCCCTTTATGATTAATAAGTAATCTATGGAGTGATATTTTGAGAGTATGTGAATACCCTACTCCCCAGTGACCTTTCACCTAGTGGTTTTAGCATCCATGATGATCATTACTGAATTCGTTGCTAATGCTAAATGGTTATTTTTTAAATTTTATTTATTTATTTTGAGAGAGAGAGAGAGAGAGAGAGAGTGGGGAAGGGGCAGAGAGAGAGGAAGAGAATCCTAAGCAGGCTCCATGCTGTCAGCACAGAACCTAATACACAGGGCTTGATCCCACGAACCCATGAGATCATGACCTGAGCCAAAATCAAGAGTTGGCCTCTTAACCAACTGAGTCACCCAGGTGCCCCCAAAATGGTGATTTTCTGATTCTATCATTCATTCATACATTTGTGTTATCCATTTGACATATTCTATAAAGGAAACCTCTACATCCTTTTTTAAATATCGATAGATTTACATTGTTTTTCAGTATGTTATAATCCATTACTATCAATTAAAAAAAAAGTATGGTGGAGCGCCTGGGTGGCTCAGTCAGTTAAGCTTCTGACTTCAGCTCAGGTCATGATCTCACAGTTTGTGGATTTGAGTCCCCACATCAGTCTCTGTGCTGACAGCTCAGAGCCTGGAGCCTGCTTCGGGTTCCGTGTCTCCCTCTCTCTGCCCCTCTCCTGCTTGTGCTCTGTCTCTCTGCCTCTCAAAAATAAATAAATGGTAAAAAAAAAAAAAAAAAAAAAAAAAAAAAAAAAAAAAAAAAAAAAAAAGTATGGCGCATTTGCGGGCTTTTTACCTGAGATGCATATAGTGTGGAGAAAGGCTGCAGGGAGCAAGTGTTGAACAGGGAAACCTGTCAGGATGTGGGATTGCTGGCTCAGCTGGTGACAGAGTATGGGAAGTGGCCAGATTCAGGCTTTGCTTGGAATATGGGACCACAGAGCTTGCTGATGTGGGGTCAAGAGAGACTTCAGGATGACTGCAAGTGTTGTGTCTTGGGCCAGAAACTATGGGAGATGATGGGGTTGGAGCTCTGTCATTCCACACATCTCATGTTGTGAGCCCATCCCTGGCTGACCAAGAGAAGTGCAGACTTTCCCTGGATACCTCGAGGGACATGGGGAAGCGTGAGAAGAGTCCTCACTTTTAGTCAAACACTCCGCGCATTGCCTGCCCCTCTGACCATTACAGCCCCATACCTGCTCCACTGCTGGCCCCCCAGGGCACTCACTATCTGCCATCTTTCATGCCCAATGTTTCCAAAGAGTTCTTCTCCACTAGATGACTCATTTTGTTTCTCTACCACAGCCTCCACTTTCCCAGAACTCCAGACACTCCTCCCACATCCCCTTTCCTCTCTGCCTCCTGCCTGCACCACTCCACCAAACCTCTGTCCAGTCAGGGGCCTCCTTGTCTGGCTTCCCATTGGGTCCCCATGGCTGTCACACACCTCTGAATCTCAGTTGTGAGCCTGGTTTGAGTTATTTCCCTCATGTCCATGTGCCTCATGAAAATTAAGGCTTCAACCTTCTTTGACCATAAAGGCTTTTCCAGAATATTCCATGACAGTTGAACACACAGGAGATCTCTAGGGGGCTCTATGACCTTAATCCATATATACTCTTCCCTCTGATACAGCTGGAAAATCTTGTTATAAATCTGCTCTAAAGTTACTGGTTCCTAAATACCAGTCTACTGACAAGTTTTGGAGTGGTAGAATGAAAATCACTCAAGTCCCAGCACCAGAGATTATGATTTCATGGTTCCAGGGTGAGGCCTGGGAATCAGTATATACAAAATGACCAAACTCCTCTGCAGTTTCCTCTCCAGTGTGGGAACACTGCTCTAAATGTAAGAAGGGCAGGTATCCTAGCCCCAGAGAGGTTCTCTTACTTCTGGCTTTAAGCAGAGCAAATATTACAATCTCTAGCCTATTGGGGTGACAGGCAGTCTCTCACAGTAATACTAGGTTGGACAGAATTTATCTGAGGACAAAGATGGGGAGAATGGAAGAAAAAAACTTCTGATCTTTGCCTTCAAGAACTCAGAGCCTATTTGGAGGAGATGAGACTGTCACAAATGAAAAACACTGAAGAGCATTTATAGAACAGATACAAATAAATGTATATCAATATTCTGCAAACAGAGGAAGAATGGCTGGCAGGCAAAATAGAGGTAGAGAACGGCTGAATTTGTGAAGGAGAAAGGAGCATTAAAGACGCCAGGCTGGGAAGAAGTTCACGTTTACATCCAAACTGTTGGCCCATCTGCTTCTTTCACCTAATATGGAACTATTCTCTGGAGAGAAGTACCCAAGCTGGGGGTGCAGCTATGAGGCTATAATGGGGGTGGTTTGCATGTCAGTCTTTTAAGCAGCAAAAGCAATTCACTACATATATTGGTAATAAGCTGGGAATGCCTTAAGTGGAGGCAGTCAAGACTGTGACCTGGAAGGCAGACAGGCCAGAGGTGGAGCTAAGGAAGTGAGATTTCTCAGTTGCACATGCTCCAGTTACAGGCTGTGTTCTTTTTGCTACAGTGCATTTCCTTATCGTGACAGGCCCAAGCTTCATCCAGCAGCCATTAGCAACCCACACCCACACCCCTTTTCCAAGAGGAAGGGATTTTCCCAAGGCTATAATGAAGAACCTCTGTATCTACAGTGGAGAAAAGGACTGTGACTATAATGACTGGGAGCCTCCTCTCCAAGGAGCCCCATCTCTTCCCAGAAAGACCTCCCTGCCTTACTCATAGACCTCTTTGGTTTCTGGTAACCCAGGAGTTCCTAAACTTCCCTGCTTATCAGAATCATCTGGAATGCTTGTCAAAAATACAAGTTTCTGGGCCCCAAACTATAGCTATTGAATGAGCATCTCCAGAAGAGACTTTTTAAAAAACCAAATCTTTGGACAGGGTAAATCTGGGAAACCTCACTAAAACCTTGTACCCTCTCTTAGGGGTGCCTGGGCTGAGGACAGCATTCTTGGGGAAAAAAAATTAATGTGTTTTTCTGTCTAAAGACTGCTAGTGATAACAGTAATTATTAACCTTTATCAACTGTGTGCCAGGCACTATACTAGGGTGTTTTTTTTAAGAGTAGGAATTATATTTTTTTCCAGTTTTATTGAGGAATAATTGGCACACATCACTGTATAAACTTAAGGCATATAGCATGATGGTTTGATTTACATATATTAGGAAATGATTACCACAGTAAGTTTAGTTAACATGTGTCATCTTATATAGATACAATAAAAATAAAAGGAAAAAATTCCCTCCTTTTGATGAGAATTCTTAGGATCTTCTCTGAACAACTTTCTGGTATATCAGTGTCAACCATAGTCATCATGCTGTACGTTACATCATCATGTACAGGTCATCATGACCTATTTATCTCATAACTGGAAGTTTGTACCTTTTGACAACTTCATCTAATTCTCCCCCACTCTGCCCCCTGCCTGTGGTAACCACAAATCTGATCTCTTTCTTCTACAAGTTAGGTGATTTTTTGCTTTCTTGTTTTGCTTTTAGATTCTACATAAAAATGAAATCATGCAGTATTTGTCTTTCTCTGTCTGACTTATTTCACTTAGTGTAATGTCCTCAAGTCCATCCATGTTGTCATAAATGATATGATTTCCTCTTTTTTATGGATGAATAATATTCCAGTGTGTATGTATTATATACACCACAAGTTCTTTGTCCATTCATCCATCAATAGACACTTGGGTTGTTTCCGTATCTTGGCTATTGTAAATAATGCTGCAATGAACATGGGGGCACAGATATCTTTTTCAGTTAGTGTTTTCATTTCCTTTGGATATATTCCCAGAAGTGGAATTGCTGAATAATATGGTGGTTGATTTTCAATTTTTTTGAGGAACTTCCATGCTGTTTTCCATAGTAGCTGCACCAATTTACATTCCCACCAACAGTGCACAGGGTTCCCTTTTCTCCACATCCTTGCCAACACTTGTTACCTCTTGTCTTTTTGATGATGGCCATTCTAACAGGTGTGAGATGATACCTCACTGTGGTTTTAATTTGCATTTCCTTGATGGCTGGTGATGTTAAGCATCTTTTCTTGTACTTGATGGCCATTCATATATCTTCTTTGTAAAAATGTCTATTCAGGTCCTGTGTCAAATTTTTGAATTGGATTATTTGGGGCTTTGCTTTTTGGTCATTTCGTTTTGTTTTTGCTTTTGAGTTGCCTGTGTTCTTTATATATTTGGATATCAACGCCTTATCAGATACATGTTTGCAAATATTTTTTCCTGTTTCATAGGTTGTCTTTTCACTTTGTTGATGGTTTATTTTGCTGACCAGAAGCTTTTTTAGTTTGATGTAGTCCCACTTGTTTAGTCTTTATTTTGTTGTTTGGAGAGCTGCTTTTTTTTTACTCATGTAATATTCCCAATTGCTACTGTTGTCTCTATTTTCTTGGATGATGAGGTAAATAGAAGGGAAGTTATGTGACTTGCCCAACTGCAACTAGCAGGTAGCAACTTGTGGAGTTAGACTGGAACTCAGGCTTCTCACTTCTTAGTTCCCTCTATTTGCCATTACACAGTACTGATCCTGGAACATTGAATTAATTAGCTCCACACTCTAACTGTGAGCTTACCAGCCCAGTTCACACCACCACCACTATAGGAATGAAGGGGCAAAAGGAGTTATAATTTATCTTAAAATTTCTAGTGGATGCGTGAATGAGGAGTGATGTTAAGGAAAGCATAGAAAAAGGATGCTAATCTCCCTCATGCTGGTCCTCAGGTACTGGAACTCCTTAAGCAACCTGGTGGCATCCTTGCTGAATTCTGTGCGCTCCATTGCCTCCCTGCTGCTACTCCTCTTCCTCTTCATCATCATCTTCTCCCTCCTGGGGATGCAGCTCTTTGGAGGAAAGTTCAACTTTGATGAGATGCAGACTCGGAGGAGCACATTTGATAACTTTCCTCAGTCCCTCCTCACTGTGTTTCAGGTATGGACTCTTCTCTGCTGGGATTATGAGCGGGAGGGTGGTTGAGTGGCAGGGTTGAGTTTGGGTGGGAAGATGGAGTCTTGAAAAGGTGGTGGAAAGCTTCACCCTTACACTGGGCAGCCAAAGCCAGCCTAGATCAGTCATGGAGGGACCATGCCCAGTTGAGTCCTGAGTTCTTGTAGTTCCCCCTACCCTCAGTCCCCCAAGGAATTCCACTGTTGTATGAACCACTGGGGTAAAAAAAATCTGAGTAGTTTAAAAACTTTTGCTTAACCACAGAAACTTCAGATAAATTCTGCAGGAAAGCCCAAAGTATAAACAAAGGAAAGCAGACTGCCCTCATTGGGAGAGGAGAGGGTGATGGGGCTCCGTCTTTCCTACCCACCATTCTTGCCCCTTGTTATTCTTTCAATGAATACATTCACATTTGCAAAAGGGCCCTGAGGAATGGCTGATGGCAGCCATCTTGTGCACTGCATGTGAGTAGAAAGAGATGCTTTGACCAGGAACGCTTTTCAGTCACTTCTCAAATAATATCATGCCAGTGCACTTTGTCTAAGTATAGGGTCAAACTTGCCCAGGTCAGTAGTTCAGAGCCCCTGGGAGGAAAACTGGGGGCCAAGAGAAGGGAAAGAGGTGGAAAAGAGATTTTAGACATTTTCTTAACATAGTGGGGCAGGGCAGGGGAGTTTTGGGGTTTGCTGTTGGTCTAACGCTGTGTCCCTTATTGGTGGGAATGTGTCATTCAGATCCTGACCGGGGAGGACTGGAATTCGGTGATGTATGATGGGATCATGGCTTATGGCGGCCCCTCTTTTCCAGGGATGTTAGTCTGTATTTACTTCATCATCCTCTTCATCTGTGGAAACTGTATCCTTTGCTCCTGCCTCCCCACCCCTGCAGCCTCACCCTCCCTCAGCCTGCAGCACGATGCCAAATACGTGTGCCCAGCAGGTCCTGACTTGGGGTTGAAAACTGTGGTTGCCCATCCACAGGGCCCCCAGGCAAGCAGGGGAAAGGTGTGCTCTGGGAAGAAAACGTTTCCTGTCCCAGAACCACCTTAACTGTGGAGGCAGGTCTTGGTGAAAGCCTGGCTCTTTGGCATAGGGGGTGATGTAAGTTCATATTCCTGAACCAGTTTGGGCTTCAGTGTTGCCTGACTCCAGGAGGCATGATCTCATTGTAGTCTAGGTGAACAACGCCCCCTGGTGTTGTGCATGTACAGCTACTCACATAGATTCCAATGTGAACACACTTGGAGTTGGGCTCCAATGCCTTGGGCTATTGCTGCTGGAGGTAGGAAATGCAGTTAAGGGGGACTGAGCCATCATTCTTGAAATGACCTTCATCTCTCCTCCCTATTTTCTGCTCAGTGTCCCTCCCTCTGAAGCCACTCTCCAGGACTTTATCACAGGCAAAGCTGGACAGGCTTCACCAAGCAGACCTGACAGGTCCTTGCTGATCCAGGCCATGGGCAGCTTTCCAGGGACTCAAGCTGCAGGCGGTATTCTCTCCTGCTGGTCAAAACCCCAAGAGGGTTGTGTGCAGAGGCAGATGGTAAAGTAGAAGCAGCTCTGGCCCAAGATTCGGGTTTAAATCATAGTTTAATGTAGTGCCCAAGGCATGAACATTGATGCTGACAGACAGGCTTCACCTTTTCCCAACTGGGTGATCTCCAGCAAACTAAAGGTTCTCTACCTCAGTGTCTGTAAAATGGGGTGATGAAACATTACTGCCTACCACTTAAGGGATCATGATGAAGTTTAATGAGATAATTTATGCAAAGCCCCTCCCCTGCCTGCCACAGCACCAGGGGACCAAGGGCAGGTGCACAGTAAGATCCTTGGTCAAGCCCTTCACCTCTGTGGGTTGTGGCTTTCCTATATGTGAAATTGTGTGATTATCTGGGTGCCTGGGGGTGGAGGTTAGACTTAACAATATTAAGACCCCTTTCATCTATACTTTCTTTGATTCTGCAATCCTCTGACCCACAGTGTTTCTGTTCAAGGTTAGGGATGAGGGCAAGAAGGAAAGGGCAAATGACTACTTCATTTAGGAGTTTCCAAGATTCAGCCAGCTCCAGCTGGACACTGCAAGGGTCTTTGTATGTGCAGGCTCAGATTAAGAGTTGGCAGAGATATCAGGCTGCCTCCTCAGTGCCCAGTTTTAATGAACCACTCTTAAGAGCATTCTGCATTCTGCTAGAGACAATGCTGTTTATAATGTCAGTTACAGCCAGTCATCTCAGTAGGGAAACCAATAATGAAACCCAGCAATTAAAGAGCAAGGCAGGCTTGCTGCCTCACTCCCTGCCCACTCCACCCTGCAAGCTATCCTGCTCTTGACCCCTTAGAAAACTCCTAGTAGCTAGTAGGTAATGGGGAGGGAGAGGTGTGGAGGAGGGACACTACCGGGCTCTGAACTCCTCAGTGAGTCACCACTGAGCTCACTCTATGAGGAAGTCTACCCCTGCATGTCTTGCACCCTCCCTGCCCCCTGTGCCCACCAAATACCCCAAGGCCAAGGGTCATTTTCTTTAAGAATGGACACAAACAGATATCCTACTGAATGTGTTCTTGGCCATTGCTGTGGACAATCTGGCTGATGCTGAGAGCCTCACATCTGCCCAAAAGGAGGAGGAAGAAGAGAAGGAGAGAAAGAAGCTGGCCAGGTAACCCTCTAAGCTTACCTAGACCCAAAGCCCCAGGGTCCCAGTTCTGGAATGCCATTCCCATTAGTGATAAAGAGAGGCTTTGGTGCTGGCCTCTGTCAGCCATCCCTCCTAGAGGGCACTGGGTTTGAGGCTTCACAGTAAGCTTCACACAACTTTCTCTACATTTATTAGGTATTGCCCTAAAGTGGGGAACATTGTGAATTATAGTAATTGTGAAGGTATTCTATTTCCCACCTAAGAAGTTGGGGGATTCTCTTTTGAGAAGGAAGGTCATGATAGGTGGTGGGAATGAAGGATGGGTAGAGGAGGAAGGCAGCCGCTTAGAGGGGAAATGCAATTCTAGCTGAGTGATAACTTTTTGCTGTTTTATAAATCATTGCCAGCATTAAGAAAACAAGATAAGGCCCTGCATTGTCTTCTGTCATTGTCTAGATGGGACTGTCATACGCCACACATCTGCTGGATACCAAGCAGAGTTTTCTAGGAACCAATCCTGAATCAGATCCAGAATCTTTCTCTGATTCAGACATAGACTAGAGCAAATGAGAAGCTGAAATAGTCCAACTAAGTACAAGACAGAGCAAAGTGTGGCCTGGTGCCTGGATGGAGGGCCCAGCCCAACAGCATCTGTGATTGAGTGACACATGCCATGTGCCCTGGGTAAAGGATGATGGACATAGGCCCAGGGAATCTGCTCCCACTAGTCCCCAGAAGACCACAGGGTAGTTGATTTCTTCATGTCTCCTGTCATTCAGTAAACATCCCTTTAATTTTTCTACCTGCTGACCGGCCAGGACTGCCAGCCCAGAGAAGAAGCAAGAGATAATGGAAAAGCCAGCTGTGGAGGAAACCAAGGAGGAGAAAATTGAGCTGAAATCCATTACAGCTGATGGAGAGTCCCCACCCACCACCAAGGTAAGAAGCCATCTTATTCCAGGAGCTGAGAGGGCCATTGCTGGGGGAAGGAGGGCAAAGCCTTCCCAGACCACCCACGCAAACCAGGGAGGAAGGAAGAAAAGAGACTCAGTGGAACAAAGCCCATGAAGGTGGACCAGAAACACTAGAAATGTGAAGAGAAGTCAGACTGGTTGAATTCCAGCCTTCTGTCGATGTCTTGAAGGATATATACAAGATAATAAGGATATACTTTTGAGTCAACAGCTCAACCACTAACCGTGATGCAATTTCAAGGCTCTAAGCCTCTCAAACAATGGAATGTCTCTAATTGGATTCTTCCTCCTTCTCTCCTTTGGCTGCCTAGATCAACATGGATGACCTCCAGCCCAATGAAAATGAAGATAAGAGTCCCTACCCCAACCCAGAAAATACAGGTACCATTCCCACTGCCTAACTCTGAGGTTGGGAGGTTGGGGGTAGAGAGCCAAGTTCTAAAGCCACATGGAACTACCCATGTATTAGGATCAATGGCTCCAGTTTCCCTCTACAAGCACCTTGCACTGATAAATGCCTTTTGTCTCTGTAGTTAGGCATTACCAATCATCATCCAGAGGAGAACTTTGCTCCTGGCTTCCTCGTAATAACAATATAACATTAAACAAATTGTGTTTGAGCAGTGCTGATTCTATGACTTTTGGAAGGGGGATTCTATATACATTTAGGTTTTATTATATCCTATGCTGTAAAATCATTAACTTATATAATTTATTAATATAACATATGTTGCAGTGTTACGCTCACTTAATAGTAAATCCCAACTCTGCCTTGTCCTTACTCAGGAGGCAGTGCTGAGTACAAGGACAGCTGCCACCACAGATGTCCCACTTGTTCCTTTGTCAAATGCTTTCATTTATTACAAAAAGAGCTCTTACCAACTCAGCCTTCTCATCTTCTGATACATAGATTGGCAGGCAGTCTCCTTTGAGAGGGCTTAATGTCAGAGGTCCTTAGACCTCCCTCCAGAATTCCCTTGTCTGCTTCATGAAACTCTACATCCTGTACAAACCCTCTGTTCACCTTCCTTTTACCTAGAAGTGCAGCTATTATTACCAGCTTCAAGCTTGCAGTCAACTGCACACAATCGAGGGACTGTTGTTTTACTGACATTTCCTTCTCTGTGCAGGTTAAGCTACATCTGGGTTGGTAACCACATTAAGTGGCTAAAAACCTTCTACATTTATGAGCAAAGCTAGGTTTTCCTTTTGGCCTTCTCCCCACCAGTTCTCTGCTGGCTTGTCTGCAAAGACACTGGTGGCCATCTTCCATTTTCCTTAGGAAGCAGGTTTTCTGTGGTCATTCCACCCTCACTCACATCCTGCCTCAAGGGAAGGAGGATTCGATTTCCTGGGGATTGGACAGAAGGAAGAACAAGAAGGGTGTTTGCATATGCTGGGCACTAAACCTTCCGAAGTCTGAAAGCTCTCTGGGTGGGAATTCTTACAGAATTTCAAACACAGACTAGACATGTTGACCAAATGCAATGGGGAATCCTGTCTTAGTCCTGAATCAACAAATTAACTCTTAAATGACATTTTTTAGATAATTGGAGGGAAATTGAATATGGACTGGAAACTAAGGATTTAAAGTAGTTTTTGTTCATTTTGTTACTGTAGTGATGTTGTCGTAGTTCTAGCTTATACGTATTGAAGTGTGTATGTCTGGAGTCTAGAATGTTTAGAAGCTCCCTTAAAATACTCCAGCAACTCCTGGTGAAGCTGGGTGTGGAGGTTTGCCACACAAGTCTCTCTACTTGTGTGTATATTTTTAAAGTTTAAAAAGAAAAACAGTGATAAAAGAAATCCTCTGAGTCCTGGGCAGAGCTGGCCCAGGTCCCCCTGCACACAGCATACAGGGGTAGAGAGTGGGCTTGAGGGTCCTTTCACAATGCACCCAGCTGCAGGCAGGCCCAGGCCTGCTCCTTCTACCGGGCAGGGGGCAGCCACACATATGCCAATAATCTCCAGTTTCATCCATCTAAATATACTCATGGCTTTTCTCTTCTTTGATGCTCTATGACATCAAAGAGAAAAAGGCCAGTGGAAAAAAGATTAATGAAAACATTGTCACCTTATTGGCCTTATTTATTAATATAACATATGTTGCATTATGTTATTGAAATGTCTCTCTGTTGACCCAGCTTTGAGGATTCCTGGAATGGTTTTGCTTTTAAACTGAAAAGCTATTCCCACACTCTGCTAATTCCTCACGATTCTTTAGGTTTTATAGAGTGTCCTTTCACTAGTCATGTGGCCACCGTTCTCTAGCCTGCTCCAGACCCAGACCTTCCCAGGTTTCTCACAGGCATCTCATACAGCTGTGTTGGTCTGTAGACAGTGGAGGCTGTCCTGCCTCAGCCACTGCCACTCTCAGGCTGTGAAGATCAGCCCCTGTGGCCCCCTTGTTTGTTTTCCATCCCTAATTTCCATTTTCTTGCCCAAGAGTGGTGTGCTCTTACAACTGGTGGCTCCACATGTTCCCCCTCACTCCAAGGAACCAGCTTCTGCTTCCCAGCTCCTCCTTCCCCTGTCTCTGCAGGTCACCTCTTGGACCCTAATCCCAGGTGCAACAGAAGTCCCCAAAGACTCCTCCCCAGGTCACTTGGCCTGCTGTCTTTGTTCTTGTCAATCTTTCATTCCCACAGGCTCTTCTCTCCTCTGAACCATAAAAGGCAAAGAACCTGATCTGCCTCTGCTGTGTCTGCTTCACGAAGATACCCTTTGGGAGGCAGCAGTGGTGAACACTGCACCTGCCCCACTTGCAGCCAGACTCCCAGAGAGAGAAGGGGCAGGGCCAAAGAATATTCTCACACCCTCCTCCTGCCCCACTTCTCACTGGGGTACACCTGTGCCTATACCCCATCCCCAGGATGCTGTGCATGCTTGTCCAGGCTGCACCCAAGCATTTGTGCTGAAGCAGCTGAGGGGGGCTGAGCTACAGCCTACACTCCCCCAGCAGGGGCCTCTGTCCTTATGTGAACACCCAGCAGAGTGGGGCCTGCTTCTGATTCACACAAAGTGCTAACTGGCCAGCAGTGGAGCATCAGTCCTTCCCTCCCTGTTTAAGCCCCAAAACTCAACAGTTGGTTTAAGCCTCCCTGCTTAGTATACACTAGATTTTAGAAATCTCTACTCACCCAGGAAATGTGCCAAGTTGTGCTTTTACTTAACCAACTCTTTTTTTTTAATATGAAATTTATTGTCAGATTGGTTTCCATACAATACCCAGTGCTCATCCCAAAATGTGCCCTCCTCAATACCCATCACCCACCCTCCCCTCCCTTCCACCCCCCATCAACCCTCAGTTTGTTCTCAGTTTTTAAGAGCCTCTTATGCTTTGGCTCTCTCCCTCTCTAACCTCTTTTTTTTTCTTCCCCTCCCCCATGGACTTCTGTTAAGTTTCTCAGGATCCACATAAGAGTGAAAACATATGGTATCTGTCTTTCTCTGTATGTCTTTCTCTTATTTCACTTTATTTGAGTGAACATACAGATGTTAAGAGTCATCAAGGACTTAAAATTAAGAGACACTTGAAAAGGAAACGTGAATGATATCAGAGAAGGCATAGGACAGCACCAGGTGCTGTGGGGAGACTCAAACTGATGCAAAGGGTTCTAGCAGAAGCAGGGCAGTGAGGTGTGGTGGGGGAGAGACAGCCAGCTTCACAGAGAAAGGTGGGCTGGGCTGGGCTTTGTGTCTGGGGAGTTGGAGAGGAAATAAGTTGTTTCAGAACATACTACTGTCATAGACAGGGAGCTGGAAGAAACCATGGAGATAGTCATTCACTTACATGTACCAGGCACTGTGGCAGGCACCAGGGATACACCTGTGGGCAAGACAGAGAAGGCTGCTGCTCTCCTGGAGCTTACGTTTCAGTGGGGAGACAGACAATGAGCAAGAAAGGGGGCCAACTGAAAGGCAACATCAGGTGGCAGTAAGCAGCAAAGAAGTAATGAAACCAAGAGGTGTGTTACAAGTTACTCACTGGCACAGGCTGCTTTGGCTGTGTAGTCAGCGAAGGCATTAGGGGTGAAACCTGAATAAGTCACAGGAATTAGATGTATGGAAATGAGAGGAAAGAGCTTTCTAGGTGGAAGGCTAGCAATTGCAGAATCTCTTGGGCAGAATGTACCTGTCTGTGGAGGAATCCAAAGAGGCCAGTGTGCATGGAGCAGAGAGAATGAAGGGGAAAGATAGTGGGTGGGACAGGGACTAGGCAGGGGCAGGTGGGACAAGGCTTCAAAGGCCTCCTGAGAGGTTTGGATCTGAGCTGATGCAATGGAGAATCACCCGAGATTCTCAAGCAGAGGAAGACATGATCTAGTGTTGGAATTACCTTTGGAAGACTGTGCCGCATAAAGACAGGGCAGTAGATGGTCAGGATGAGGACTGGAGGCAGTGAGCATGTTAGCAGTGGTTCTGGTGAGAGGCAGTGGCTGCTCAGCCCAGGGTGGTGGTGCTGCAGACAGAGAAGTGGCAGGACTGGCACTGCATTTTGCAGGACTTGCTAGTGGCCTAGAAGTCAGGGGGAGAGAGTGAGCAGTGGAGGGAGATGAGGTTTTAAACTGAGCCAGCAGAGAAGATGCCCAGTGCAGCAACAGGGGCATCCTCAGCCTTATGTCTCAGTATTCCACCCACAAAGCTCACCTCAAGGTGCCAATCACGCCAATGAACTCTGGGGCTGCACTAAAAACTGTAAGTTCCTCGAGGGCAAGAACCACAGCTTTGTGTTCAGTACACTGTAGGCAGTAGGTGTTAGAAGTAATTATTTCTATTTGAATCGGCCATGAGCAAAATCACAGAAGTGAAAACGAGTGTCAAATGGGTAGGGGACATGGATCACCAAGGACCAAGAGTGGGGCATCCAGCCCCACAGTGGTTTTACTTTTGAGCACTGGACCCAGCCATCTGGAAAGCAGCAGCAACCCTGAAGTGTGGCAACACCTTACTGGCCACACTTCTCCAAACCCCAAGAATGGGGATGGGAAAACTGAAGATCCCAAGGGTGCCCTGGCATCTGGGAGTGGAAGTCTAGGTGACTCAGTTGCCAACCCCAAAAATGAACTTTACTTGACTTTTCCTCCCCTGCCAACCTCTCTCCTTACACTTAATACATGCAAAGCATCACATCTGTCAGATTTCTTTCCCTTTGAAGATTTGTGTTTGTCCTTCAGAAGTAGTTTCCTCTCAAACACTATGCCTGGAATTCAGCTCATGTGTGTCTGAATGGACCAACTGACTTGCTTCTCCCCAGGAATGGAAATCAGGGTAGAGCTTCACAAACCATGAGGCAAGCTATTGCAGATGAAAGAGCATGCAAAATTCTTCACCAGGAACTTGGAAAAACACAAAGCTAGTAAATATGTTTTTCTATAAACACACATGATTAAAATAAGCATTAAATTACCTGTTACCAAATTATCATGAATAAGAAAGTGTTGGGTCATTTAGAGCAAAACTGAAAAGAATACAAACAGCTGGGCAGGAATTTAAGATCCTTCTCAATTAAATTTCATTTATAAATATTGTGATTCAGGCCAACTCCTGTTTTACTTATTTTGCTTTACAAGGAGACTCTGCCTTTCTTTTACTTACCAAGGTTTGGTTAGAAAGCTTCAACCATTGGCCTGTTCACCTCGTGCCTCTCTTCTCCTAAAAATATTAATTGCTTTGCTGGTCAGCTCTAATTATGCCAGGGGATAAAAATTTGATTTATTCCTATATTCTGCTGGTCCCCCCAAAAAGCCTTGGGCCCCTAAATGCTTCTTGCTTGATAAAAAAAACACTTTCTGTGGTTGATGGGCATTGAGGAGGGCACTTGTTGGGATGAGCAATGGGTGCTGTATGGAAACCAGTTTGACAATAAATTATATTTAAAAAATAAAAAAAGAACCACTATCTGTGCCAGGCATTTTTTTTTCTTGGCACAACCTAGCTTCATTTTAACCAGAAGAAGAGAGAGCATGCAGAGACATGGCTGGTCCCTAAGATAAACGTCCTGTAACTATCTTTCCAACCAGCTTAGTCTCCACCTGACCCTCTTCTTTTGTAAAGTCCCTTTCTTTATAAAGCAGATGTTGATGTGAAAGTGTAATCATCAAAAAACAAGGGCTACTATGCGCTGAGCAGAGTGTCTCTCTCCAGGGTTTTCAGCACATGAAGAGATGGAACAGATACATGTAAAGTCAGGCATTCAAGGTATTTGGTCCCAAGTGCCAAGTGAATGCAGGAGAATGACAGGGCTGCTAGAATCACATGAAGGTCATTCTCAAGAGCCCAGGTATTCGGGAGAGCCAAGTGAATGATGCTGTCTTACCTGAGAGTCCTTCTGGCTCTACACCAGGAGATGAGAGCATTTCAAATAAGGAGACAGCATGAGGAAAGGAGAAAGCACACGGCGAGTGTATTCATTTCCTGGGGCTGTCATAACAAATTACCATGAACTTGGTGGCTTAAACCAGCAAATATTTATTCTCTCACAGTTCTGGAGCCTATAAGACTGAAAGCAGGTATTGGCAGGACCATCCTCTCTCTAAAGGCTCTGGAAAGAATCCCTTTCTCGCCTTGTCCCCATCTCTGCCAGTGGCCAGCAATCCTTGGTGCTCCTTGGCTTCCAGCCTCATCTCTCTGGTTTCTGCCTCTGTCTTCATGCGTGTGTGTGTGTGTCTGTGTCTCCTTATAAGAATAATAGTCCTTGGATTTAGGGCCCACCCCACTCCAGTATAACTTCATCATGACTATACATCTGCAAAGTTACTGTTTCCAAAGTAAGGTCATGTTCTGAGGTTCCAGGTAGGCATGAATTTTGGGGGGACGTTATTCAGGCCACTACTACAAACCTTCAGAAAACAGTTTGATGTGAGTGGAAAATTTGTTAGGGAATAACAGCAGGCAGAGATCAGACTGAGAAAGATGCTAAGCACTACTTACAGGCTAAGAGTCTTCTCTGTGGGTAGAGATAGTAACAACAGCTAACATTTATATAGCACTTGCTATGTGCCAGGCGCCACTCTGAGGTATGTATGTACTATTATCCCATTTGCAGATGGGGAAACTGAGACCAGAAAGACTAAATGCCAGAAAGAAACAGAGCCAAGATTTGGATCTAGACATGGCCAGAGAACCCATGTTGTTTTTACTCCCATTCCCTCTCTAAACATTTTTAAATGCATTTGACCAGAAAAAGATATATAGTAGTTTCCTTCCATGGGCAGTGGCCGTGTAAGCAAAGGATTTTGCTTTTGGTCCACAGTAAATGTGGCCCCTGCCCAGGATAACAAAGGGGCTTCTCAAACTAGTGTTAATGTCTAGTCTTTTGAATGAAGTGCCTGTTGTGGCCAACATCACTGTCCTATTATCCCTACAGCACATGAGTTTTTGGTATTTTTCAGGAATGGGAGTGTTGATTTTAAACTCCAAGGATGGAATTGATTGCAAGTCACCTAAGCCATACCCATTACCCTACCTGCAGCCTAGATGGACAGGCACACCTGGCAATGCCCCAGTCTTCCCCAATCACCTTTCCTAGTGCCTTACAACTAGAATGACCAACCATCCCAATCTGCATGGGACTGAGGAGTCTCTTGGGATGTGGGAATTTCAGTTTAAAAACCAGGACAGTCCTTGACATGAACTAGCCACCCTACTTACAACCCCCTTTGTCATGTGCTGCCAGAAAAGTCTCTCTAACAAAGATTCTAGCAGCGCTCACAGGGAGAGAGCTGAATGTCTTTGTTGATACCCTTCATTTTCAGAGATGCAAATGATGTCTTGATTCTGGTTGGTAGGAAGCTATCTGGAAGTAGGCAGCATAGTGGTAAAAACCTAGTGGGAGTAGTGGAGTTATTTAGAATGGTGCTTTTTTTCTTACAGGAGAAGACGATGAAGAGGAGCCTGAGATGCCTGTGGGCCCCCGCCCACGACCACTCTCTGAGCTGCACCTTAAGGAAAAGGCAGTGCCCATGCCAGAAGCCAGTGCATTTTTCATCTTCAGCCCCAACAACAGGTGTGCAAGAATGGTGGGGAAGGTGGGACTCTACTCTCTCCATGCTACAAGCACAACAGATGCTAACATCCTCCAGCCTCTGAGTGGAGCCTGGGACTCTCCCAACCCCCCACAACTTGTGCAAACAGGCACTGGTTTAGGGAAAAGTATCCTATATTCCAAATCAGAAGACTTGGGTCTGTTTTTCCCTCCATTTTTTGACACATGTAAACTCTATTTCTACACTTTTGGTGATTACTCTTGGTAATTTACTAAGTCTATTTAACTTAAAATCTGAAGTTAAGCAGTATCCTACACCTCCTCCTGCAAAATAGAAAGAGCTTATACTGTTTTAACTTCTCTCAGCCCTCCTACCTTACATGTTATTAATTAGTATTTTAGTCCTGTCCTTTATTTTTAACTTCACAAGTTAGACATTATTATCATTTTCATTATTATTATATAGACCAATGTATACTTGGATTTTCATACAACTTCCCATTTTACTCATTCACCATTTTTTCATGTATCTCAGTCCACCCTTCTATAATCATTTTCTTCCTAAAGCACATTCTTTAGAAGCCCCTAGTGTTTCTTTTTGTTGTTGTTGTTTTTGTTTATGTTTTTATTTATTTTTTTTACTATGAAATTTATTGTCAAATTGGTTTCCATACAACACCCAGTGCTCACCCCAGCAGGTGCCCTCCTCAATATCCATCACCCACCATCCCCTCCCTCCCACCCCTCATCAACCCTCAGTTTGTTCTCAGTTTTTTAAGAGTCTCTTATGATTTGGCTCCCTCCCTCTGTAACTTTTTTTTTCCTTCCCCTCCTCCATGGTCTTCTGTTAAGTTTCTAGGATCCACATAAGAGTGAAACCATATGGTATCTGTCTTTTTCTGTATGACTTATTTCACTTAGCATAACACTCTCCAGTTCCATCCATGTTGCTACAAAAGGCCATATTT